AAAAAAAAAAAAAAAAAGGAAAAATGGGCAAATGGTCTGAGGTGCCTGACGTCCAGGCATTCTTTTACACATTGGTCCCTCCCTAGTCTCTACCCCCAATGCGACTCATCCCAAATCTTTCTTTCTCTCCTGTCTGTTCCTTCAGTCTCCACCCCAAGCTCTGAGTCCTTTGAATCCTCCTTTTCTACAGACCCATCTCACTTCCCCCCTCCTCCCCTGGCTGCTCCTCGTCAGGCCAAGCTAGGTCCCAATTCTTCCTCAGCCTCTGGCTCCCCAACCCTCTAATCCTTCTGTCACCTCCCCTCCTCTCACCCGGTCCAGCTTACAGTTTCGTTCCACCTGCCCAACAATTTCCTCTGAGAGACATGGCTGGAGCTGATGGCAGAGTCAGGGTACACGTGCCTTTTCCTCTATCAGACCTTTCCCAAGTCACCCAGCGTTCAGGCTCTTTCTCATCAGACCCCACTAAACAGATACAGGAATTCCGACCTCTGACTCTGTCCTACAATTTAACCTGGAGTGACTTAAATGTCACCCTAACTTCTACCTTCTCCCCAGATGAACGGGAAAGAGTTTTTTTTCTCTAGCCCAGTCTCACGCCGATAACTGCCGGCTTCATGAGCCAGACCTCCGGGAAGGCTTTAGAGCAGTTCCCCGGGAAGATCCCCAATGGAACCATCAGGCAGATTCTCCAGGCATAGCTAGGTGAGATTTCATGGTTTCTGCCTAAAGAGCTTTAAAAGGCAGCTGACAAAGCTGTTAATTATGACAAACAAACTACGCAAGGTAAAGACGAAAACCCAGCCCAGTTCACGGCCTGTTTAGCAGCAACCCTTTACCGCCCTAGATCCAGAGGGGCCAGAAGGCTGCCTTATTCTTAATATGTATTTTCTCACCCAGTCAGCTCCTGACATTAGAAAAAAGCTTCAGGGCCTGGCACAGTAGCTCAAGCCTGTAATCCCAGCACTTTAGGAGGCCGAGACTGGCGGATCACAAGGTCAGGAGATCAAGACCATCTGGCTAACATGGTGAAACCCCATCTCTACTAAAAGATACAAAAATATAGCCGGGCGAGGTGGCGGGCGCCTACAGTCCCAGCTACCCGG